CAGGAAGCACGCCTCGCCGAAATCCCCCGGCCTTGCCTACCTCGGCCGTGTTGGACATTGTCGACGGCGGGCGGGATGTCCCGAGTTAAACCGCTCTCTTGGTGTGGCGTCAGTTAAGACGGTAGCAAACGGTCCCCCAGAAGCGCGTGCTGTGCCCAGCCCAGCACGCGGGCCCGATGTGCTGAAAATTCCTGTCCGCGTTTGCGGCCCTGTCGCAGGCGCGCTCGCGGGCGTGAAAGGCAGGGCGGAAAATTCAAACAGACCGCCCCACCAAATGCGTGGGCATGAAGCACATTCCTGCGCCCACCTGGATGCGAGTGAGGCCGCCCTTGAACGTGATCTCCTTGGCCATTTTCTCGTATGCGAACTTGTTTGGGCTCCCGGCTTCGCGGGGGCCGGCGGGCGGGGACAGGGGGGGGGAGCGCGCGCGCGCGAGCTCAGGCGAGCATCGGCGCCCATTTTTCGGCTCGGGCACATTTTCAAACATGCTTGGCTGTGGTCTCCTCCCCTTGTGAGCCCGCGGTCGGCCCAGGACACGGATGGGGCGAGAACAGGGCCAGGTGCCCTGGGGGGGACATGCCGACCGGATGCATGCGCCACCATTCCCAATACTCCCGCCGGGGGCAGGGCCTCCGCACGCCGCACGGAGGCATGCGTCACGGTCGAAAAGGTCGAAAACCTGGCACCCGCCCAACGCCGCGCGCGCCGGACCCCCCCCCCCCCCCCCCAGGGGCAAAGCGCGCCCACTGGCGCGAGGCGAGATGTACCCGGCCGGGCGCCGATGCAGAGGGCCGTTCGGATGGCCGGGGGGGGGGGGGGGGGGAGCAAGGGCGGGCTGGGCGGCCGGGGCATGAGCCGGGGCTTCATCTCGTCTCAGGGGCACACCCCGCGTCTCGTCGGGCCCGGAGGCGCTGAAGGGAGACAAAAATGCCCCGGCGAGCACGAGTGGCCGTCGGGGGAGGACGGGGGGCGTCGAATCCTGGCCGATGGCGTGGCTCTGCGTACCCCCCCCCCCCCCCTGTTCATGCTCCATCGTCCCGACGACAACCATCATCATTGTCGCCACAACCCCTCCTCTCGGTTCCCCCTCCGCCCCTGAAGTGCCCCGCCACTGGTTGCTGGCACTCTCGCAGACAGGCGCAGCGATCTAGTCCATGGCGATCAGCCCTGCACATGGGCCCTGGCTCCCTTCGCCGAAAGGGGCCCAAGGGCATGGGCAGCACCTTTTCAGCCGCCCTATTCGCGAGTCTGGCACCCAAGAAAATGAACAGACCCCCCCCCCGCCCGCCCCCCGCCCCTCCCCTGCTCCCTGTGCCCCTGATCTCTTGCCCCACTGCCTGCTGCCCCGATCCATCTGCCCGTGCTCCAATTGCTCCAATCCGCCAGCGTGACACCCGCCAGAGACGAAAAGGACAGAGAGACACACGGATACCGACACACAGACACCCACCGCTCGAGGGAGAGAGAGAGAGAGAGAGAGAGAGAGAGAGCGTGCGCGATCTCCCGCCGCCACTGTCACCACCTGTGCCCGAGGCCCTGCTCGCCGAGCGCCCCATTGTTCCTGCTCCCGCCTCTTTCTCCGCTCCTCCCTCTCCGCGGCATGACCATGAGTTCTCCGCCGGCATCGACCCCCTCGTCCCCCTCCACGGGGACCCCCGGCCAGCCGCCCCCCAGCTTTGAAATCCTCCGGTCCATCTTCTTCCGGCAAAACCTCCTCCTCTCGTCGGAGGTGAATTCTGTCCGCGACCTTGCGACCGATCTCCAGGTGCGCCTGTCGGCCGGTCTCGCTTGCCGTGTGCTGCTTTCGCTCGACGCCGGGGGCCTCGCCGTCGCCTTTGCGACTTGCCGTGTGTCTGTGCCATCACAATCCCACCCCTGCTGACGCCTTGCCCACATGTGGGGCCCATGCGCACCTCCTCATCTCGACTCCCTTGTGCAGTATGAGACATGTAAGCTGCTGGATCTCTCCTGGCGCAATCTCCTCTCCTCGGCGCGGCTTGAGTCCTCCTCCTCGGTGACCACCGCTGGCGGGATCAACTCTCCGTGGGTGGCCTTCGAAAAGGAGTGCAGCCAGCATCTCCTCCCGGCGCCGCTGGTTCCGGGGGCCGCCTTCCCTCAGCCGACCGAGAATGTCACCCAGAGCCCGCATGTACGACGGTGTCCCTCCCCCCCCCTCCGCCCCCCCCAATCCCCTCCCCCCCCCCCCCCCCTCCCCCCAATCGCAAGGCCACACATCACCGATCCCGCTGTTGACCATGCTCACGTATGCCCTCTCTTCGTCATGCATGCGGCCCATGTCCTCCGGTGGCCGTAGCTTCTGCAGGATGTGGCAACTTTGCTTAGTGAGACGTGGCGCCGGCCGCGTCTTCTGGCGCAAGCTCTGTGCCTCTTTTCGTCGGATGTCCAGCCAACCACCATCGGAGACTCTGTCGGTGGCGGGTCATCCTCGACGCCGATCGACCTGGATGCCCTTGTCCAGGCCACCCTCTTCGGCCTTTACGGGAATTTCAATCCACTGGTCGATGAGCGGGCCATCCTCACGGTACTGGAGGTGCGTGTGGGTGTATGCCATCCGGTGGGTCAATGTGCACCTGCGCATGCACGTCTCTCTGACCTCCTTCTTCCCCCCCCCCCCCCCCTGTCTCCCTCTCGTCTCTTGTCTGCGGACGGTCGGTGCATGTAGCACATCCTGACGTACAACTTCGCCGAGATCATGAAGCCTCGGTCGCGCGCCTCCTCGTCCGAGATCAAGGCCTCGAGCCCGCTTACCCAGGCACAGATGGACGACATCCGCAAGCGCTTCCTCCACTGGCTCCGCGAGAACAGCCTCTTCTCGCGCATGCTCTCGTCCTACCTCAAGTGCGCTGTTCCCTCCCCGCCCCCCTCCCCCCCCCCTCTATTGGCTGCTATGTGTCTACCTCTCCGTCTCCGCGTCTCCTCCGGCGCTCGGTGTTCTACCTGGCTCGATGCTGACTGCGTGCGCCCCTCGCATACATATTCCACCCAGATACTTCACCCCGGGAAGGGCCTTCTTGCGCGCTGTCCTGCGAGCGCCTCTTCTCAAGGCCATCTCCATGGCGGAGAAGCTCAACCCCTCCTTGCAGACGCCCAGCGCCGATGAGACTGGTGCGCGCTCCGTGTTGTCTTCCCCTTCCATCTTCTGTCCTGCTTTAAGGCCAGGCTCATGCGCACATATGCCTCCCCCTTCCTCCTGAGCACACGCACCCACGCATACACATCTGACACACGGGCTGTTGGGCACCTCTCTGCCGTCCTCAACCACATCCGCAGCCAACACCTGGCTGGTGACCGCCTGTGTGGAGATCTTCCAGGCTATCGAGCAAAATATCCCCTCTCTACCCTTCGGTCTGCGCTGGCTGTGTCGGCGACTGATTGAGTGCGCATCCATCGCCCCCTCACTATGCCTGCCTCCCGGGAACCCTTTTGCGCACCGATACTCACCCTCTCTGCTTGCGCCTGTGTGTATGGTCGTGGGTGTGGGTGAATGGTCTCTATGTGTGCTTGGGCCATCCAGGATTCCCTCTAATGGCCGCGTGGCCGATGGGGACTTTTCGCTGGTTTCCGAGCTGCTCCTATCGCGCTTCATTTGCCCGGCTATCATCCAGCCTGTGCGTCTCGCTTCTCCTCCCCTCTAAATGGCCTGCTGTCCCCCTTCCCTCTTCTTCTCTTCTTTCTCTCCCCCCCCCCCCTCGACCCTGCCCTTCTAACATGCTGGCGACCACTTGCATACCTTCTCCTTCCCTTCTGCGTCCTCTTCCCCCCCCCCCCCCCCCCATGGCTGATAGCAATTCTTTGGCATCCTGCAGGACGCCTCTCTCAACGCGGGTGCACTCTTTGGCCTGAAGACAGTGCGTTCCCCTCCCCATCCCCCTGCGGAGACACATCCCTGGATGCAAACATTTGCACACGCAAATGTGCATGTGGCGACTTCCTGACCCGCTCTTCCTTCGTATGCCCTTTTCCGCAGCTTGCCAAGGCCGTCTCTGCTGTGGCCCAATCTGCGCAGCTGGAGAGCGTGACCGACATCCAGAACATCCACCGCGACCCGAAAATCGCCACCGTCATCACCAAGATCCACACCCATCCGCACTTCAAGCCCTCCTTCATCCTGAATACCATGCGTCAGGTGGTCTCGGTGCCGGATTTGCCTGCCGGCCTGCCGGGTCTGTCTAAGATCGATCGCACAGTCTCCTTTGCCGACCGCGTGCCGGGAGCCGCCACCGCGGCCGCCATCTCCGGCACTGCTGGTGACCAGGCGCGTCTGCTGTCGCATGAACTGCTCGAGCAGCCGGCCTTCCACCTGGATGGGCCGCTGTACATGGTCACCTCGCACCGGATCTGCTTCATCCTCTCGAATGTGCTCTTCCGCTCGAGCCTCACGGTATGCACATCCCCGCCTCCGGGCCCTGCTGCTCCAGGGGGCTCTCTGCCCCTCTCCCTCCCCCCCCCCGCGCCCCTCCGGTGGACTTGCGCTCTGACTGACTACATGCCCTGCTCTGCCCTCCGGCGCAATAGCTCCCTTCCAAGCTACGCGTGGCAGTTGACCGCCTCAATGGCGCGCTGGACGCCGCCAACAAGGCCCTCTCCTTTATCATCATCCACGGCGGCGAGCCGAAACAGGGGCGCTCAATCTTGCTGGACCCACAAACCGGTTCGTTGTCTGGGCACCCCCTTGCCTTGCTCCCCTGGCATCTCGCCTCCCCTGCCCGCCTCCCACATGCGCTGACCCCCTCCCCCCGTGCTTGTATGGGCCTCCTCCCGCGGCCCAGCTATCTCCCTTGAAATGGGCGAGGAGCGCCTGCATCAGCCGTCGCCCACTGACAAGAAGGCCTTTGAGAATCTCAGCCAACACCCTCGACTTGGGAAGCTCCTCAGCCGCGAGGACATTGCCAAGGTGGTGGAGGCTCGGGCCTACCTGTGGAATGTCCTGTCTAGTCATTCGATTCCCTCCCGGTCCTGGCGGTATTTCAACCTGAATTCCATCCTTCGCCAGGAGCTCGCGGTGCGTCGCGTACCTCTGTGGCGATGACATTCGCCCCCTTCCCGGGTCTTTGTCTCCCTCTCTCTCTCTCTCTCTCCCTCCATATCTCCCCTCTTCCCCTTCGTGCGAGATCCTGACTGGCATGGTGCTGCATTCATGGCTTCGTGCCCCTGTCCCCGCCCCCCCCCCCTTGCCCCCCTTGTCCCCGGGACGTGGTCTGGCAAACATGCGACTTGGCAGTTCGCACAGGCGTCCAAGGGCGACGCTCCCGCCTTTTCGCACTTCAAGTATGACTTCTCCGAGGTCGACACAGATGCCCTGACCAATGCGCAGCTTGGGATCGATGAATTCGATGATGACCTGATGGATGGCGTGATGGACTACAGCTCCAATGCGGTTCCCCTGCGCGAGGAGCTCATCCGCATCATGGACAGCATCACCCCCGGGCAGATGGCCGAGGTGGAGGTCTGGCTGCGGCAGACCCTCTTTGCGGACTATGCCAAGGCCGCCTCCTTTGTTCTCTTGCTCTATGAGAAGCGCTCCTCGCTGATTGTCCGGCTGTCCATGCTGAAGGCCGAGAACCAGAAGCTCACTCGGTCCCGGCGGGCGGCCGTCCGGCTGCACTCGATCCTGCGTGTCAACCGCCTGGTGGAGCGCCGGTCGGCCGAAATCCGCGAGTTCATCAAGGAGTTCGAGGCCACCGACAACTATGAGAACATGCCGGCGGTGGTGACCAACTTCATGTTCAGGTCGGAAGCGGTGCGCCTCTTTTTGTCACCTGGGGCAAGGGTGAGAAGTCCAGAGGGGGACAGGGAGGTGGGGGGGGGGGGAGCCGTGCCCTCGGCAGCACGCATGCACTCGAGCATCTACGTGCAGGCGTCTGCATTCGCGCTCGCATGCGCACATGATACGCATGTGGCCGGGTAGCCTAACTGACTGCTGTTTACTGGGGTCAGCTCCTTCGCCAGGATCAGGCTTGGCAGACCTCCTGCCAGCAAGAGCGCGAAAATGCCTGCCTCATTCTCGAGCGCGTCTTCATGCAGAAGGTTTACCCCAGTGTCTTCCGGGCCATCTCTTCCACGTCGACCATCGACCTCTTTTCGCGCATTGAGCAGCTTCGACCGATCCTCAACCTGGATCACCCGCTAGTTCAGATTGCCGGGCACCTGGTGAGTCAGGCGCCTTGGCCGACGGTGCAGAAGGGTGCGCATGCGCGAGGACGCACCATGCCTTTTTTCTTCTTCTTCTTTTGTTTGCTCCCTTCCTTCCGTGTGTCATCTCTCCCCCACTCGACTGACGGTCGCCATGGACTCGTCGTTTCTGCCCCCCCCTCCCCCCTCCTCTCCGCACGCATCTTGGAAAGAACTCGGCCTGCTTCATCTGTACCGTGCGCCGATGGACATGCTCGCGTGCATTGTGCGAGTGTGCAAGTCGCTGATGGGTGCGTCTGTGGGACTCCCCTTTCCATGTCCTCCCCTGGGAACCTATACTTTCCCCCTCTCTCCCTCTCCCTCTCTCTCTCTCTCCGTTTCCCTCCTTTTGCCCCATCCCCGGTCAACCCATCATGCTGACCCCTCCCTCACTCTGTCTCACCCCTCTCCGCTGGGTGCATGTAGACTTCCTCTCCATGAGCCAGAAGCCTGTCGGGGCGGACGACTTCTTCCCAGCTCTCATCTATGTTATCGTGCAGGCGAATCCGCCCGACCTGCAGTACTCGGTTGAGTGCGTGTGCTGCCTCGTGGCTGGCTTTGGCCGCAATCCCTTTCCGCGACCTCCCAGCAGCACACTTACCCATGCCTTTGGCCATCTTGCTCTCGCCTGCCCCTTCCCTCCTTTTTGCTGTGTTGCATCGCGCGTTGCCCAGGTACATTCGCGCCTTTGCTGAAAGGCGGGCCATCGGCCAGGCGGCGTATTGGTGGACGCAGTTCTGCACAGCGGTCACCTTCCTCAGCAAGCTCGATAAGAAGGGCTTCATGCCTCCGATGTAGTCGTACACGTGTAATTGCGCGGGGGTGCGAGTGCGCGAGCACCCTCCTGGCATCCCCACCACCCGCTGATGACGTGGCTACCGCGTGCCATCACCCGCGCCTTGTGTAGTGGGACATCCCAGACCGATCGCCACACGGGGCCTTTTATTTAATGAACACAATAGACGAAGTGTGCTCTCTCTCTCTCTCTCTCTCTCTCTCTCTCTCT